CCTCCCCCCCCCCCTCCCCCGACACGATTAATTGGCTGCATAATCGCGCCGCTAATCGCCGGCTAATTCGCGCGCGAGGCATAATTGCCGCGCGACGTTGATGGGCTGCGCGGCAGCAATGCCGCGTCGTTGACGTCCGTGGCTCGCTGTTGGCTCGACGTTGGTGCTGCTGCTGCCGCCGTTGCTGCCGTTGTTACGTCGGACGCTCATAAAGAGGACGACGACGACGGACGCGACGAGGCAGAGAGGGGTTGAGGGGACGTGAGGGAGAAGGGGGCTTAACAGAATAGCATAATTCCGACGCGATTAATTCGCGATTTCGCAATATGCACCGGGCGCATTGCGTGCGTCAAATCTGTGCGGCAACGGTGGCGTCGGCTGTCTCGATACGCGGTGGTGCAACTCGGCGAGCGGGAAGGGGATGATGATAGCAACGGCAGGGCAGGCGGGGTCGGAATGCACCCGCGGATGCATTCCGATATGCGCCCACGCGCGCGCAAGAGAGAGAGAGAGAGAGAACGCTGTACTAGCCGTGGCCCTTTCGCCTTCCGTAGTTACGATCGTCCGTTTGTACACGGACGCGATCGGAATGGCACGCACGCAGATAGACGCGTAATTGCGCAGCAATGACGATCGACCCGCGCGCTCTCCTCGCTGCGAGAGGCCTTTAACCTGCACGTCGTTTCCGGTACGAGGACCGCGTCCCGATAAAGGCTCCGACACGCAACTCCGACGTGCTTAGATCCGCGAGTATCGCGAATCGACCCTTTGAGAGACGTGAATGACTTTAGGCGAATCGATCCGCGCCTTTGTCTTTCGCCTCTCGCGATTGCGATATCATTTAAAAATTTCGAAACATGATCTCTCGTCTAAAAAATGTTTGTCATTCTTGATTGGCAATGTCTAGGAGTAACAAAAGGACACGTATATACTCTCTTGTATATACTCGTTGTATATACTCTCTACAATGTGCCTTTGCTTCCTGCTTCTTTCTCTTTATCTCTTTCTGATTAAAATCTTAAACCTTAAGTTTGATCTACAATGTATTATTTACTTCTTGTTTCTTTTTCTTTATCTCTTTCTGACTTATATCTTAAGCCTTAAGCTTGATCTACAATATGCTCTTTGCATTCTGTTTCTTGTCTTCTATCTTTTTCTGGCCTACAGCTTAAGGTTTGAGTCAGAAAGAGATAAAGAGAAAAAAGCAGGAAGCGAAGAGCATATTGTAGATCAGGCTTTAAACTAAAAAAGGCGGAGAACAAGAAACAAGAAGCAAAGAGCACATTGTAGATTAAGCTTTAAGTTTGATCTAAATGTGCTCTTTGCTTTGTTTTTTTTTCTATCTTTTTCTGATTTAAAACTTGACCTTTTAGTTAGAACAAAATAAAGAATAAGAAACAGGAAGCGAAGAGCATATTCTAGATCAGGCTTTAAGCTAGAAAAAGACAGAACAAGTAACAGGAAGCAAAGAGCACATTGTAGATTAAGCTTTAAAATGAATCAGTAGAAACATTTCTTTTTGAATCAACAAAAGGAATATTTCAACGATAATCAGTGAGTATTCACCGATTTTCAGTGAACACACTGATTGTTCTTTAAAAAATACAATTGGTCGATAAGAACCGAACTGTCGAGGCATTACGGCTACATACATTTATTCATTACCACGAAGCTATTTCACACGACAAACATACGATATAAACGCATATTTCGACCATTTGTTGGACTCCGTTCAGTAATAAAACACCTAAGTAATCGTTACTCTGTCTAATTGCCTATCATAAATAACCTCGCCTAGGAATCTGTCTATACATCTGTTATTTTGACTCTTGCAATTGCGATAATGTCGCATCGTGTATCGACAAGTCAGGCAAAAGTATATTTACACTATCCGCACTAATCATATCAATGGTCTGCGATCGTATCTGTGTTGATCTGAAGTTGATAGCAATATGATGTAACACGCGTCTGACGACGTCTTGGCGATAATTCGCGTTGCACATAAAACTCCAATAATATCTTTTCCATTCCCGGCTAGAGTACTTTGTCTCAGCGCATCGTATCCACATATTATTGTATCATAACTGTTGATTTTGAGAGGAATCAGCAACTCAACCGCATATAATATAGTGATGAATGCATATATGCACCATACTGCTGCATGTAATGTGACTGAGTTACCGATTTCTCTCTAAACCAACAATCATGACACAAAGATAGACATATATGATGCGCCCGAGGCAAAATACCTTAGTCGGAAATGGAAGGCATTATTGGAGTTCTATGTATGCCTTGAGACATTCATCGTAACGTGCATAACCCGTAATCGCAATCCTACACGTGTACACGAGTGCGAAATGTATCGTGTAACACGTGTGGTAGCGCGATGTGCATTGTGCGAGAACGTGTCTCCGGCACATTATGCCGGGGCTTAGTTGGCTTTTGATCCGATTAAAATGGTTTTGCATGCTCCGCTGGATCGTGCATAATTGCATTGCAATCATGAAGGACCTTTCAGTATCTGCTTCTGCGAAATCCGTGTTATTTCATTAGGCGTATAATCCCCCAGGAATCATGTTAATCGCGCAAGTTTTCCACCGCATTTGTGCCGTTGTTACAATTTAATTAGCTCGCCACTTCGCTCGCGCGACAGGAACGTCGCGTTCTAAACGGGAAACGGATCGCAGCACGCGCAATAAACTCTCGCAGTGCGCGACCGCAAGCCCCTCGCGATATATTCGCGTCGCTGGATCTCGTCGAGCGTCCCCTCTGAGCATCCTTTTTCTTCCTTTTCCTTTCTCTTCTCGATGTTTATTTGCTGTGCTCTTTCAATTTGATCTTGCTTGATAGCACACAGTGTACTTTGGCGTGCAAGTTAAAGGCACCGAAGACGCCGATAGCGACCTTCTTTAATTATCCTGTCGTTACGGAATATTAATACACTGTCTCACGTCAGCCTTGCCCGAAGTTAATTGGACGACGAGGTCTCTCTTAGAACGTCGGGCTGGTAAACGAGCTTCTTTGCCAGTCTGTCGAACGCACCGCCCCTCGGAATTTCCCACACGTACGTCACCTTCTAAGAGAGATCGACTCCACTCGAGGTTAATCGAAGAGAATGAAATCTCTTTTTATTTGTCAAGATTCTTTTTCCTTTCGGCTCAAAGGACGTCAACGTCGCTCGGCGAGAAATTCGGATTTTCTTCAGGGGCGTGCGACGGCGTGCGTTTCGTCAAACGCGCCCATCACCCCTGGTCCAACACCCTGAAGACCGAGGGTGGCTCCGCGCGTCACGAGCAAAGCTCCACGGAATATGAAAATAGCTCGTTTCGGCGCGCGTCAGCTGGTGTTGAGCGGTTAAACGACGTTCTTAATTCTCCCCGCATAACCAGCCGCAATCGATCCGAGGTCTCAAAATCAATTAACCGTTTAACCCCATCCACGCATACGCGAGGGCTTAAGTCCCCGACGTGATTAGGATCGTGGATTTCGCGCGCCGACTCCGTGCTCGCCTCTGACTCTCTTCCCCCTGGATTCGCGCCAGAACAGTCCCTTCTTCTCAGGAAAGCTAACGAGACTCCTTTGGGTCATGTTAGGCCGCCCCCTCTTAATTGTTTCAATAATCGCACTCTCTCTCACCCCTTGTTTCACTTCTAATCCTTTACAAACTTTACCGCCGTATAACTGCGCGATCTGTAACAGTTTCCTTGATTGCACTGAATTATATTGTAAGCGAATACAGGGATAGATAAATAGCTAGATAGATAAATAGATATAGACTCGTATTCATAGTCATATATATTACTTTAAACATGCCTCAGCTTCGAGTTCAGAGTTAGGTGAGAGTTTTCAGTTTAATCGCCGATTACAGGTATAATATTAAATATGTCATACAATTCAACTGCAAAATTTGGATCCAATTCTGAGTAAAAATCTGAGTATCTCATATAAGGCAAATTTCAATTCACTTTCAATATCAGCCTAAATTTGGATTTAAATATCTCACGTGAGACAAATATAATAACGTACCCAATAACAACTATTAATATATGCACTATCAATATAGGTCATAAATACACGGAAGAAAAGATTGGTTGAATTAATGTCACAATGACACAACAAAATGTGTTTCGATTTTCCTCAACCAAAATGCGTTTAGTTATATCATCGTCACAATAATTCGATCCATTTTTCTTTCCGTGCAGGTGTGCGAAAGATTTATGTTTACATGTAGCTATATATTACGCCGAGGAAATAAGCAAAGGAAGGGACAGTGAAAATAACGCGGGGTCCTATGCATTGTACTTTCAGGTGAACGGCGACGATGACTGGGAATATGAAGAGATAGTTTTGGAGCGGGGAGGCGCGGGCCTCGGTTTCAGTATCGCCGGCGGCACGGACAATCCGCATTACGGCAACGACACCGCCATTTACATCACCAAGCTCATACCGGGCGGTGCCGCGTCCGCGGACGGGCGTCTACGTGTCAACGACACGATACTGCAAGTGAACGACGTGTCCGTCGTCGACGTGCAGCATGCGGCCGCCGTAGACGCGCTCAAGCGGGCCGGCAACACCGTCAAGCTGGTAAGCCTCATCCTGTGCTGCTGTAATTCTCCTCGTCGCGATGTGGACATATGCACGAGCCAAACGTTCCCCATTGCTGCAGATCGCTCATGTCGGTCGGTAAACGCGCCTGTCCAGAGTTCCTCAAGTCAGAATTAAGATATCGTTGGCAATTTTAAGGAGGAAGTGAGTGAATGAATGAGCGAACGAGAGAGAGAAGCTGCGACGTGCTTTATCATTTCAGTTTTGGACTTTCTCTCTTACTCCTGTTAGAATTTCTCTCTCATTATCATTAACGTCAGCCCTAAAAATGGCAGGCAAGATATGGATTAATCGTCACGCCTTGTCCTATTTCCGACTAGAGGAACTCTACGCCCGTCTGTCTCCCGCGTGTCCATGTGGAGCACTCACGTTCTCATGATTAATTTACTTTCGCTCGTTGATATCTCCCGGTGGCTAAATCGCGATCTCGCGATGTCCTAATAATAACGGCAATCCGGCGAATCGCAAAACGGAAGATCGCGCAACGTCTCGAGGGAGAGAACGCAGCTTGCCCGACGGTTAACGCTGACTGACACGCGAAACATCGTAATGTTGCAACTGAACGCGAACTGACGTATGCAAATCTCGAGTCCAAATCTAATTGAACCGTGCACGCGTTTCAGTGCACGCGGCCATACATTGTTACCACAATCGCATGCCCGTATCACATGCGCATCTCAAGTGCAGATTTAATTGCGCGACGAATGTGTCGGGAAATAATTGAATTGCAAATGTTGTAATGCGCGCACTTTCCGCCGCTCCCACAAACTCGCATACAACGCGTATGCATATTCAGTGCTGCCTGCCAATACTTAAAGGGACAATACTGGAGTGCTTAATCAATTATGTATCAAATGATATATTGTTTGATGTAAAAGCTTAAGATCGCGAAACTGGCAGTCGTTGGCGAAGAGACTTGATTTATTTCTTTTTTTTTTTTCAACATCGCCGGTCTCTTCGACGAAGCCTGCGAGTCCCCGCAAAGTTTTCGCGAGATTGACGTCCTACCGGATTCCATATTTGTCATAAAGCCCCGTCGAATATCTTCGGCTTATACCGGGGAAAGTCCCGAAGCGACGATCACTCACCCGGTCTTTCGAGATTCCTGTAGCTCCGCAAAGTCGCCCAGGGATGAGGGAAACTTTCGATGGGATCGTTCGTTACGCGCCTCTCGGATATACGTTAATGTCACCCACGGAGGAAAAGAAAAAGGAAAGGATCCCCAGGTGGGATGTTGTAGCGCTGTACCATAGCTCCTTCTCGGAATCGACGACGGCGGCGAGCGTGCAACATAAAAATCGCAGTTGTCGATCGCGCTCGCTCTCGTTACGAAACTTTTGACCAAGAATTTCGCGACACGCGAGGCCGCGTCTCACTTCAAAGACTCGTACGAGATCGGTGAGAATGTTTTATCGGCGTGTCGCGAAGTCGATGGAATATATCGGGGATAAGGATTTGTTCGACGAACACGACCGCAGATTCTCGAGGAGACGCTCAAAGAGATCGCGCTTGTCAGCATCGACGTTATTAACCCTTCCGGGCTACAAATAACGGTGAGGAAAGCATAAAGACTGTTTATGGCCGCACCATCCTGGGTATCATTATTCCGGCGTGTAAAGTCCGCCTCACGTTGACGCGATAAACGCGTCTTTAAGACAGTCAACGCGAAAAAAACGCAGGTTTGATTTGCAAGTCCGAATTCACGGGAGTTTCACGACGATTTCGCGCGATTCCGAGGGGATTGTATTGAGTGAAACACGAGTTATCAGAGGTTCGACAGGGACTCCGTCGTGCTTATTCGTGTGTATTCGCCGAATTATTTCGATACTTTACGGCAACTACAGCCGGTCGTTACCCTAAAATAATTAGCGCTAATTAGTTATAAATAATTAACGCGTACAGCAGCTCGTTGGTTTGCTGCGCGTACGTAGAGTGCGAATGTAACTCTGTTAAATTGTCGTACTTTTTGTTTATATGTAATCATCGTTTTGTTTATCACGTATTTACGGAATAAATGATTGAATAATAACGAGAATAACCGAGAGAGAGAG